ATGGAGTAAGTATGCTGTGATTCAAGATATGAGAAATTCCGGGCACTAGGCTACAGGTTGCCAAAATTGTTGGATGAATCAGAAATTGTCTTATTTGAGAATTTTTTACAATCTAAGCCATTAGCCATAGCAAGGGATATGGTTTCCACTGATCTATATGATTCCTGTGTCTAAGAAACTGGCAAAGAATTGGAGCGGATATCATCAGTGAAAACAACTACAGCGTCATGACACTGAGGAGGTTATTTTTTGAACACAGAGGCTTCCTGGCCTATTTTCCCTCATATTTCGGATGGTTATAAAAGATGCTGCGTATTCGATCCGAACCATTCATCAACCTACATAATATTTTTATTAATTGAATTGAGTCTTGCGAACAATTATAGTAATTTTTTATATTCAAAGGCTAAGCTTCGACTCCATATTAATTATATTTTGATTCCTCTCCGCTTCATAAGTCCCTCTAAGCTTCGACTATTGAATTTTTTGTTTTTAAATCATATCTTGGCCCTACAATGTCCCAATAAGGTGTCCATTGCATTGGTAACGAACGTTGAATCCCTGGTTCTCTCCCCACTTACGCCGTCAAAGTTGACTATGGGGACGAATGGAATGGTTTTCTCTAGTTTTTTCACTTTCTTTTGGGGTCAATTCACAAGTCTCCTTCGGATTATGAGAAGGTGCCTAAAGTCCAGAGAGATCCCTCGAGTACCCGTGCGCTGTTGGAAATTGTTATAGGGTCATTGACTCGCTGGACCAAATAAAATTGAAGCAGCCATTCGCTCTTTCTTTTCCCTTTTTTTTTTTTTTTTGTCAACACGATAGGTTCTATTTTATATGTACTTCTACTCTATCATAAGTATTCTAAGGGAGAGGGGGTGGGTCCAAATGAGTCAAGAAAGAATTCAGAAAGAATTGAACCACCATCGAATTAAATGGATGTCGGTTTCTATTTTATACCTATTTCTACTCTATTCTAAATATCCTAAGGAAGGAGGGAGTAAGACCAAATGGGTCAAGGAAGAATTTGAAAAGAACTGAACCGCCATCGGATCAAATAGTTGTCTTTGTATCCGAGAGTGAAACTTTTAGAAAATTCTGAAGATGAATGCAAGTCAAGAGATCGAATCCCTTGACCTACGTCTAAAGAGAGTCTTAAACTTTTTTCTGGTGGTCAACTAGTCAAAAGGTAGTTGGAAGCAGCCATTCACTCAATGAAGGAAAACCAATCAAAAATTTATATTGAACAAATTTACAGGCAATTTGAGGTACTGCATAAACGAAAATTTGCTAGTATACTTCTTTGTGTCTTTTATAGTATTAATTTCAAAATTCATGAGGTGGAAAACACGATTAGGGGATCGAGAATGAACACAATTCATAGAGCCAGAGACATTTGCTTCATTCACAAAATTCAAATCTCTTAGTTTGGCATCTTAAAATTCATAGTTGCTTTTAACTAGCACTTTCTCCAAACTACAAAGACCAAATTTCGATTTTTCGGTCTGCGCCCCGACCAAATTTCGATTTTATGGAGAAATGTTACAACTTCAATCAAGATCTCCCGCTAATATGAGGTTTCTGTGTTATGGACCCTTAAAAGAGTAAATTAATCATTCTGAACTAAACCATGTGGAAGTTTCGAATTTATTTCGTAGGATTATGATATTGTACGTTTTAATTGATTTTGAAGGTTTAGATTATGAAGGCAATTTTGCTGTCTATGCTTCCATTTCAACGTGTCCTTCTTCAAGATATGAGAAATGCTATTATAAATGCTATTTATTCAATCCGAACTACGAATCGACCTCCATGACCCGCAAGAATTTGAGTTTGATCTTCTTCAGTGTCTCCAGCGTAACTTTCATACTAACTCTCTCACTTGGAGATTCACAGACACATTTTAAGGCCAATTCCAAGATTGACGATAAAACCTCCAGCTTCTCAGTGAAATTTTCATCCTCACGCTGCAACAACTTGGCATCAATAACTCGAAGAATCGAATCAGGCAGAGAATTATTTATCCAACTCTTCAAGTTCAAATTTCCAGCAAACATCTCATCATTAGGCTTTCTTCTTGAAAAAACTTCCATCAGCATGATTCCATAGCTATAAACATCGCATTTTGCTGATATCAACCCCTCAGATCCATACTCTACAAACAACATTCAAATTGAACAAGTGTCACATAAAAGAAGGAAAAAAGAAACTAAATGCTATGCACAAACTTTAGGGTTAAGATTGAAGAATCATTACCTGGAGCAATGTAGCCAATTGTAGCTAAGGTCCTGGTCCATGCAAAGCTTTCCTCCTTTTCCAGCATTTTTGCAATACCAAAGTCGCTGACGTGGGCAACCATATCCTCATCAAGTAAGACATTACTGGGCTTCAAATCACAGTGAATCACAGGCGTCGAATATTCTTCGTGCAGATATTGCACTGCACTTGCCACATCTATCAATATATTCAATCTCTGTAGAGTATCTAAGAAATAATTGTCACAATACAGCCATTTCTCAAGGCTTCCATTGCACATGTATTCAAGCACCAAGGCCCTAAAATCCTGGTTCCAACAACCACTGATGACCTTCACAAGATTTCGATGGCGAAGGTTCTTCAGGACTTTGCACTCTACATCAAAGCTCTTGAGTACTCCTTCCAATTCCAAATTGAAAACCTTTACAGCAATAGACCTTCCGTCATTGAGAATCCCCTTGTAAACAGATCCAAAACTCCCAATGCCAAGCAAATTGCTTTCACCGTACCCATCAGTTGCTCGAAGAAGTTCATAGTACGAAACTCTTTCTTGCGTTGGCACTAATACCATGTTTGTTCCTTTAGGATCCTGACATCTCTTCCAATATCTTCTGAAGACAATTGCTAAGGCTGCGACAACCACAGAAGCAATTCCCAGAGGAGCAAATGCAAATAGAAGCACCTTTTTTGTTCTGGACCTGTGAATTGAATTAGGTCTTGGGCAAGGCGGCACATGAAACCTGGAATCTCCGCACAATGCATCATTGAACAGAAAAGATTCAGCAGTAAAGTTTCTAAAGTGACCACCAGAGGGAATTTCACCACTTAAATGGTTATAAGAAACGTCAAGCTCTTTGAGGTCCCGAAGTGCCTCCAATGACTTTGGTATGGAGCCAGAAAGATTGTTGTGCGATAAGTAAAGTCCTTGTAAGCTGAGCATATTGCTAAATGACTCTGGGATAGATCCATGAAATTGGTTTTGGGATAAATTTAAAATCACCAGGTTTTGCAAATCACCTGTTGTGCGGGGAATGTCACCAGAGAATTGATTCGCTGATACATCTATAGATGTAATAGCTTTCAAATTTCCAACTTCAAGAGGCAAGGAACCATTAAGGGAGTTTGAGGATAAGTTCAACTGCAAGAGATCTTTGAGGTTCCAAAAACTATTAGGTATGGCAGAGACTAAAAAGTTGTTTCCTAGATCAAGTTCCCGAAGAGAAGTCATATTGCCAAAGCATCCTAGTATGGACCCGGAAAATCGGTTCGCAGTCAGGTATACATAAGCCAACCTCTGCAAATTGCAAAGGTTTTCTAAAGTGCCATTTAGATTATTATCTTCCATATCCAAAGTTTGCATGTTTTGTAGATCTTTGAATGCTGCTGGGATGCCTCCAGTCAACTGATTCGATTGTAGAGCAAGCAATATCAAATTGGTCAAGTTGCCAGCTTGACTTGGTATGGTGCCCTTGATTTCACTAGTTCCTATATACAATTTCTGTAGAGTAGCAGAGAGATTCCCAATGGAAGCTGGAAGAAGCCCATTTAACGGATTTGGGCCCAGGGCTAAATAATCCAAGTTTTTGCATTTTGTCAATGAAGTGATGAAGCTCAGCTCCATAGATGTAGGATCACTTGTTAAATTGTTGCTGTACAGAGCTAGAACTTGCAGCAGTCTAAGGTCCCCGAGGGCGTCAGGAATGGAACCAGTGAATCTGTTAATTGAAAGTTCTAGCATTCTTAATTGGGAACAATTTGTAATGGACACTGGTATAACCCCACCAAGGTCATTCCCAGCAAGCTCTATGAATAATAACTTGGGCAGTCTGTATCCTAGATCCCGCGGAAGATTTCCTGATAGAAGATTAGATGAAAGTGCAATGTTCCACAATGCTGAGAGGTTGAAGATGCCACGGGGAATGGAGCCATTCAAGCCATTATACGGTAACTGAAGATTCTCGAGTAGGTAAAGGTTACCCATCTCTCGTGGTATTGTACCTGCATACCATTTTCAAAGGAAGCATATCAATCATTAGGCTGTAAAATTCTTTGAAGAAACCAAGTATAAATAATAATAATAATATTGAATGGATGTAAGCATTTGGTTAACTGATTTCGATTTACTTAACCAAAAAATGGTACATTAAAGATGTATTTACCTGTCAAGGAGTTGTTGGCAAAGTAGAGCTCAGTAAGCATCGTCAAATTCCCGATTTCTTTTGGAATGCTTCCCGCGATTTTATTCCATTCCAGATTGAGCCTTTGTAGGTTTTGCAGATTGCCTATCTCTCGTGGAATCGTACCTGCCAACGGTATTTTATTGTTGTTAGATTAGTAAGAAATTCAAATTTATTTGCTTAACACTCATTAAAAATTGAGTTGAAATGTATAATTATTTTTAAATGGGTATAAATGAGTGAACTAAGTCAACCCATTAGGCAAGAATTCATTTCACCCAGAAATTACTCCAAATATTTGCTAGTTGCATGATTGTAAATAGAGCATATATAAGCAGTGGTGAAGCTATTCATAGACCTGATTACCTGTCAAGTTGTTACGCCCCAACACGAGAACGTTCAAACCATGCAGTTTGCCAAGCTCTCGGGGAATTACACCTAACAATTTTATGCAAAGACAGAACTAATCATATTCATTTTAGAGATATATTGAGAACGGTCTTACGCCGAAATTTGTGTTGGTAAAACAGTAGATAGTGTTGAATCCCAGTGTCAAACAGGGAAAAATTACCATTGATTGCAGTTTGGCCTTGTTCGTATGCAAAAAGGCAAAGCAAAAGCATTACCTGTGAAGTTGTTATTCATGAGGGATAAATACGTAAGCTTCTCCAGATTTCCAATTTCTTTGGGTATGTACCCGCCAAACCTGTTGGATGACAAGTCTAGCGCTTTTAGTTGAGAAATCTTGCATAAGCTCAATGGTATTTGACCAGCTAAATAATTCCGATAAAAATTCAGCAATTTGAGGGCTGAAAGATTTCCTATCTTTTCTGGAATTTTTCCTTGCAGGAAATTTTCGCTTAGATCTAACTTTTCCACTCTTGACAAGTTGGATATAGAGGAAGGAATAAAACCACTAAAACCATTGATGTCCAGGAGCAAGAATTGGAGTTCTGGAAAGTGACCAAACCACATTGGAATCGCCCCAGTGAATCTGTTGTTGGAAAACAAGATGAGCCTCAGGCGGCGTAGATGTGACAACTCTTCGGGCAGACTGCCGTGGAAGGAGTTACTTCTGAGATCAAGAGAAACAAGAAAGGAGAGGTTTCCCAAATCCGGAGGTATTGTGCCGGTGAGTCCCATGTTTGAAACATTTAAAGCAGTGACTCTTTGGTGTCGAGAGCCGCACTGGACTCCTATCCAGTCACACACAGAGGATGCAGAAGCTGCAGAAGACCAGTTTCTTGACAAGCATTCATGCTGTTCTGACGTGATATGGGCTTTCAGGGCTAATAGAGCAGATTGATCAGTGCCTAAACTTAATCTTTTCATGGCTGTGCAGCCGGTCATCATTAGATGGTGCAGCAGCAAAACAAGTACTGCAAGAGGGTAGAAGTGGGAGTGTCTCTTCATATCGACCGACCTATATGATCAATCAATTGTCCAAATCGGTGATGGACAACAGGAAATTAGACGCCAATGTGTACTACCATTTGAATATGATGTTTTTTTTTTTTTGATACATTGGAAGAGGTCATCATAACCCCTTAAATTGCAACAGAATGAGTAAATGGAACTCCTAACATATCAGCTATCAATAGTTCTGTCATCTATGCTTAACTACTGTTCATATGAATTCGTACATATTTATTTTATTGGAGTTACATGACTTTGTTTCAATGGTACATTTTTAAATTTGTCTTGTTGGCCGGGAACAGTTTAGACTGTTCTTAGTCCAATATTGTATATGTACATATTTTTTACCCGAAGGTGACTGATCCAATAAAAAAAACCCGAAGGTGAGACCATACAATGAATCTTTTGGAAAGACATGTACTGTCATGCATAAATCTTCTACATGTTTCAATGGCCGCATATGGTGATAGACGTTGGAAATTTTGTTATTTAGACATTTTCTTCGATAGTCATTAATGGGTGGGTCAGGATGTACAAGGCATTTTCAATTGACTTCTGTAATTGCTAGAACCAGCCTTTTTCTTTACCTCTCAACATCGCCAACGACAGGACATCATGGGACTTTCCAGTCAGCAATGTCCTTTTTATTTTAGAGAGGATTTGAATTGAAGGATGTTGCTGTAGTGCTTTTATTGGTCAAAAAAGATGTGTGGAAAGGTAAGGGAAAAGACCGATTGTGGCCACAGATGATAGGAAATGTGTCTTGGATGGGCACGTGTAAAGGCATTTTATAATCTGAAACTTAAACAGTCGTTGGGTGTTAAAGTTGAGTGGAAGGGCCATATGAAAAGTTGGGGGGATTTGAAAGCATAAATAGGAAAGATGGAGTGCCTAAAATAATCAACTGCCAAAGGCAAAGGGTCGCAAGCGAAACTAAGGGCATTAAAAAAGGCACCAAGCTTGACGGAGAAGCTAAACACTGTACGCATATAAAATGAACAGAAATTACCGCGAAAAGCATATTCGTTGTGGAGTTGGCGGCTAAAATAAATGATTCAAAAATATATATTTGTATATATCCTAGCATGTATGTCTATATATATATATATTTATGAATGGGATAACTTTGTACAAGCTCGGATCAGTGATATTTTCGAAATATCATTGGATTCCACTGAGTATAATTTCGTTTCTCGTGACAGTAGTTTAATATGCCAATATCAATGGTGAAAAATTATCTAATAATACTCTCATATTTAAATTTTAAATTTTTTTCATTTACATATAAATTTCCTACTTTTAGAACGTGTATACATACATACATTTTAAAAATATACATTTATACATATATCTAGGTATATGGATATGTATGTCTTTATATAAATATATTGTGAATGGGATAACTTTGAAGAGAATCGGATGACGTTATCTGAAATATCATTAGACTCCCCTGAGTATAATTTCATTTTTCGTGATAGTAGTTTAATATGTCAATATCAAAAGTGAAGAATTCTCAAATATTACCCTCATATTTAAATTTTAAATCTTTCTTTCATTCTCTAAATTTCTTACTTTTTTTACAATGTGTATACATACATACATACATTTTCAAAATATACAATTATATATATACATATGTATGTCTATATATATATATATATAGTAAATTCATATATACAATTAGACTTGCAAATGTCAATGCAAACTGCTGTGCACTTGAACCTGGAATAATGGATAACTATGCAATAATGTATTTCTAAATTATAATAAATAGAATTTTGTTTTTCTTGTAGTTTTTGTGATTGTGATCAAATGAGGTATGACTATGCAAGTGTATTTGTTTTCAAATATCATTTTTACTTTTCAAATTTATAGTTTTCAAATTTACTATCCGTGATTGTGTAGCATTATGATGTAGTAGTAATACAAAAGAAATACCATGTAAATAATGATAGTTTTTTTAAAATAAACAAAGTGGTTTACGAATATTCCTATCCAGCGAACAAAAGGGTAGTTAGGATATTTAAAAATCTTGCTATACAAACAACAAAAGTAAGGTAGGTTAGTGATATTTTTAGAACTTTAGGGGTGTCAGGCGAAATGAAGAAAAACCTCAGGGGAGGTTTACAATATTGACTTACTGAATACACTTATTTATGCCAATTATACTCTTCATACTAATTATATTTTTAAACTAAATTACTATTTACGCATATTTTAAAACTTCAAATTTAATTGCTATTAGCGAAATTATATTGATTTTTTTTTATATGAGTAGTATTTTTTATCTTGGATACTACTTTAATTAGAATTTAGTTTAAAGACATTCACCGGAGTTTAGACGCATCCAGAGAGCACCGATCGATGTATCTTCATGCGTAAATTGGAATAAATATGCAACTTAATTTTTTTAAAAATAAATTACTACTCTATATCCGAAATTTACTTTTTGGAGAGTAGGTTTAGTTCATACTATTTTTCATAGTATTTAAAAATATATAAGTACAAAAAAAATTTAAATTAGACCTATAATCATGTATTATACGAGTATATTATGAGTACTTACTAACTAAGATAGTAAGCTTTAATCATTGATAAAACATCTTATCGTTATTTCAAATAAACTTCCTAATACTAGTTTGAGATAAGTTTTAAAGTAAAATAGTACATGTGTCCCATAAATCAGTAAATCTTGATTATTAATCAAATTTGCCATGTTATCAGTAATAATTACTATTTATGTTTAAAAACTTACTATTACTTGCTATTACTTGAAGTAAAATAGTACATGCATTTGCTTGACTTCTGCTTTGGTTAATTATAAAATTAGACATAATTGTAAAAACCTCCTATAGGTTTTTGACATATTCACACGGCCTTCCCTAACATTTGCAAAACTATACAAAACTTCAAAGACTCTAACGTTTATATTACAAATTTAATTCCAACGAAGTTTACTAACATTAAAAAAATTACTTTACATGGGGGAGTGAAGTGAAAAAATGGGAGTATAATAATATCCCTTAATTGTTTATTCCATAAATATCCCTTATACATGTATGTGAGTTGAATTTGTTTAATAATAGAAATAACTTTTGGTGTAATGGGCCATTTTTTTGTGTAGTTGGAGCATATTTTGCCTAAATAAAGCTATTTATAAGATTTTGCCTGAATACCTAAATTATATGTGCAGTTGGCGGATTTACCTTTAATAATATAATAATAGTAATAGAATTACTATTATTATTTGCTAGCAAAGCACAACATTATTTCCCTTCCCTTCTACATTCTCTGTTCATGCAGCACTTCCCCTCGACATTTCTCTATTTTTCATTGCTTTCTTATTCACCATGTTAATCCAAATGGATATGTGATTTTATTAGTTTCAAATGGGTAGCTGAATAAAATCAATTAATTAGTGGCTATTAAATGGATAGATTTCGACTACCTATTTATAATTAATTTTATTAGACATAAATTCAAATTCATTAGTAAGCAAATGAATTTGAATTCGTATACACAATAATTATATCAAAGTTTTTGCAAAGCCATATCTATCTAGTGTTTCCTATTCTTTAATTTTCATTTATTAAAAGTTTTGGAAACAAAATTGGTTACAATAAAACAAACTGCCAACTATTTATTAAGCACTAATGTGAAAGTATTTTCAAGTACCTTTGTCTGCTTGACATTTAAACTAGTTTTTTATCATAATTTTTTATTATTACCACACCCATTCGGTGTGTCATAACCAGTGCTCATAATAATTGAAGTTTTTGCACCAGAATACACTATGTCTAACGTTAATTGTTGGGGTTAAATGCAATAAAATCATGACTAACTATATACTTAATTGTAGTTTACCCCTTAAACTATAGTAATACACTTTTTCCTCCCTTGAATTATTGGCAAAAAAATTTTGGGGTTGCAGAAAGGCATCCTCAATGTTCCCTAATTTTGGCCAATTAGGAACAATTGACGGGAAATGAAGAATTGATCGTTAGAACCAACGGTTTTACCTAACAAAAAATGGGTAAAACCGAATGGAGCCATTTTTAACGGAACAATTGCAACGGACGAAAAGCTCCAATCTACTCCTTCTTCCCTCTGCCTTTCTGCAACCCCAAAAAATTTTTTGCCAATCTCTAGAGTTTTAACGACCGTTATACAACTTTCAAAACAAAGAAATTTATTCTAAATTTTTATTTGGGATAATTTCATAAACCAAATCGCGACCACTTTCTATAAAGTATCACTTTCCCATAAAAGACCAATTCTTTATGGCTTTCCTCCATTATAAGAACAGAGTACCCATTTTTTCATAAATAAATTTATTTATCGAATAAAATAAAAATAAATTCATTTTCCAATAAAATACCAGTTCTTTATGGCTTTCCTCCATTATAAGAACAAAGTACTCATTTTCCCATAAATAAATTTATTTATCGAATAAAATAAAAATGAATCCATTTTTCAATAAAAGATCAGCTCTTTATGGCTTTCCTCCATTATAAGAACAGATTACCCATTTTTTCATAAATAAATTTATTTATCGTATAAAATAAAAATATACCCGTTTTCCAATAAAACACCAGCTCTTTATAACTTTCCTCCATTATAAGAACAGAGTACCCATTTTTTCATAAATAAATTTATTTATCGGATAAAATAAAAATAAATACATTTTCCAATAAAAGACCAGTTCTTTATAACTTTCCTCCATTATAAGAACAGAGTACCTATTTTTTCATAAATAAATTTATTTATCGGATAAAATAAAAATAAATTCATTTTTCAATAAAAGACCAACTCTTTATGACTTTCCTCCATTATAAGAACAGAGTACCCATTTTTTCATAAACAAATTTATTTATCGGATAAAATAAAAATAAACCCGTTCTCCAATAAAACATCAGTTCTTTATGACTTTCCTC